ATTTAAGAGAAATCTTTAAGCAGTGGTCAAAAAAGACCACATGATAGGTGATGCTGCAGAGGGGATTCTTGACCAGATTTGGATTCAGTGCTTTCTATTACATGTGTCCAAATCCTTGTGCTCTATTTCACTAAAATAAAAATGACATCGACTTAGTGTTTCAAAGGGTTTTTTGTGCCTTTATACACATTATCTTTTTTGAATCTCACAACTTCCTGAACTGGGTATTACAGGAATTATTATTAAAACGTAATTAGTGACATTCCTGACTCCAAGTCCAGCAGTCTATCCAAAACATCTTCCTATGCTGGGTTTCTAGCAAAGAGATAAACCCCTTCCCCTGTGCTCACTATGAATAAGCTTCCCCCTAGAAGCACTAGGATGTGTTGGGAGAGCTGCACCCAGAAGCATGGGGACAGGCACTGTAGGCAACCCAGAATCCTTCAGAAGCTCAGAGAGCAGCTGACTACATTTCACCTACCCAAACCCTACCTGCCATCCTTCTGGGCCCAACTTCACCATAAAGTCTTTAATTCCTCTAGCCCCCTCTGTTCTCTTCCCATTCCTGCAGCCTATGTTATACACCATCTTCTCTTGTTCCTTAATTGTTTTGCCTGCCTTATGGACTGTTTTATATACCTCTATGCCCCACAGCTCCTAGCACCAGGCTAACACACAGAGCAATAATGATAATAACTCATGTTCAACTTTTGAACAACACTGTGACCAGACCAGGCAGTGTGATACAGTGGAAAGAGGGTTTGATCTGGAGGCGGAGGGCACGGTTTCGAATCCTAGTTCTTCTAGGGAGACCATGGACAGAGAGAAGTTTCTTCCTTCTCTGGGCCTCAGTTTCCTCATATTTAAAATGAGAGTTAAATGCCCGGATCTCTAAAAATACTCGCTAGCTTTCCTACCGGAAAGTGATACATTTTGCAATTTTCTTCTAATGACAATCGTTGGCGTTTGTTTGCTTTGTATATATTCTCTGTTTATCTTTGTGGAGGTGTAACTGTCCCCCCAAAGGAATTCTTGGGGAGTAAATTCACCCGAAGGAACCGTCAATCCAGCCCCTTCACCTTTTATAGGAGGGGAAACTGACGCACAGGAAATTAAATCACTTTCGCAGGGATGTTTGCATTGACTCCACATCCCCGGGATGCGGCACGGTGAGCTCTCCCCTACCGGGTGAACCAGCTGCACCCCAGCTCCCCCGGGCTCCAAGGCTACACCCCCAGGCACCAAACGACAACACGAGAAAACAAGAAGAGGGAATACTCATAGTTTATATGGTCTCGGGCTCTCGAATCCCTTGTCGCCTTTCTTCCTGTTCATCCTGCAGGGCTCTAAGCCAGTGGGCGGCATGAAGAACGGAGAAGGGACTCGCTCTGCCCCCTCCCTCTCAGCTTACTGGGCATTCCCCGGCTCCCTCAGCCCAATGACCCGCGCCGCGGCGGCGGCGGCTACGGCCTGACTCCCCCAGCCAAAAGTTCGGTCAACATTAACAAAACCATGCCCGCTCGGACCCTCCCTGGCTCTGGCCACTGCCCGTCTCTTCTGACCACTTCCTGGCTCGCCTGCTACGGAAGGGCTCCGGCGCGAGGACACGGCGCTGCTGCGCGCAGCCGTTCCTCCCGAAGCGGCCGCGGCAGCGGCAGCAGCAGCCGACCCCCATGCTAAGCTGAGAGCCGGCTCCGCCAGCTCCCAGGAGCCTCCGCGGCGCACTGACGAAGGCCCTAGCACCTTTATCTTCCGGGGCGCTACAGGAAGTGGCGCGCGACGAGGAGTTTACACCCGGAAATTGCTGGTCGATGGTAGGGGGAAAGGAAATCCATTTTTAAATGTATTTCAAACGTTCGAATAGAAGAGTTGCGTGTTTCCGTCAATGTGGGGAATCCGAAATTGAGAGATGCAGGAGGTAATTGAGTGTCGTGGAGGGGGAAGCAGGCGTTTAATAAGTGCTAGTGGACGGATTGCTTTAAACCCTCACCCTTTAGACTGTGAACTCCCTGAGGGCAGGAACTTTGTTTTGCTTACGTTTCCCTGCCGCTAAGCACCGTGCAGGGCACAAAGTAGGTGCTTGCTAAAGGCTTGTTGACTGACGGGAAGGAAGCTAGGGAAGCCAAGAGGCAGAGTTCCAGGGTCGGGGGGACAGCCCGGGAAAAGACAGAGGGTTGGGAGATGCAGTGTCTACTTTGAGGAAAAACAAGAAGGCCAAAGTCGTTGGATCGCAGAGTGTGTGGGATGGAGAGGGGGAAGTAAGGTTTAAGAAGACAGGAAAGGTTGGAGGGGCCAGGTCATGAAGGGCTTTGAACGACAGACAAACAAGGATTTTATGTTTGATCCAGGAGGGTAATGGAGACAGGGAAAAGGAGTAGGGTGGCGTGGTCAGACCTGTGCTGCCCCATCAGCAATTTAGAAAAAAAGGCCAGAGCTGAGTGGCCAGTGTACGTGACCCCTCCTTCGCTAAGGCGCTGTGGGGCATCATTAAGTCACCCATCCCACCTGGAGGGACTTCCTGTCCCCTCCTTCCTCAGGTGTCTCTATGGGTCCATGGAGTTGCCTCCTCAGACACTTACTAGTGGTATTGACCCGAGGCAAGTCACTTAATCTGTTTCCCTCAGATTCTTCAGCTGTAAAATGGAATAACAGTAACTCCTACCTCCCAAGGTTGTTGTGAGGATCAAATGACAATAATTATAAAGCACTGTGCACAGTTCCTAACACATAAGAGCTATGTAAATGTTAGCTATTATTCCAGTACTTAGCACAGTGCCTGTAGGGCACATAGTTGGCTCTTGGTAAAATGTTAATCCATTGTCAGGCAGCCTTGAAGTTGATACCTCCCCACCCCCAGCATTCATTCATTTATTCAATTAAAAAAACTCACTAAGTGTTAAGAGAGATATATAGTAAAAAATATACATATGTAATATACATATTGTATATATACATGTATACACACACACTCTCACACATACATAATGTACATATATACATGCTAGCTGTTAATATTATTATTAGCTTTATGTGGTTTTGGTTTCTTTTAAAACTTAACTAGGCCATGGACCTCAGCTAGAGATCAACTTTAAAAGATCATATATTCGGAACTGAAGATCAGTTTCTTTGTGAGGACAGCTAGGTGGCGCAGTAGAAAGCACTCTGGCTTTGAGGTCAGGAGGACCTGAGTTCAAATCCAGTCTCAGACACACAAGGCATACTAGCTGTGTGACCCTGGGCAAGTCAGTTAACCCCAATTGCCTAGCAAAAAGTAAAACAAACAAAAAAATCTTTGTGTCATGGACTCCTTTGGCAGCCTAGTGAAGCATGTTTCCCTTCCCCAAATAATGTTCTTAAATACATAAAATGCAAAGAATTACAAAAGAAACCAGTTGCATTGAAATAGCCAGTTTTTTTTTCATTTTTTAAAATTTATTTTGAGTTTTCAACATTCACTTCCATAAGATTTTTGAGTTCCAAAATTTCTCCCTCTCCCACTTCTTCCCCCCCTCCCACCTCGAGACAGTACCATCTGGTATAGGCTCTATACATTCATGTTAAGCATATTTTCCCATTGGTCATGATGGGATGACAATTAGAACTAATGGGAGGAACCACAAGAATGAAGCAATGAAACAAAACAACAAAGGAAAAGGAGAGCAAATAGCATGCTTCCATCAGCACTCAGACTCCATAGTTCTTTCTCTGGGTGTGGATAACAGTTTCCATCATGAATCTTTTGGAGTTGTCTTAGATCCTTGCATTGCTGAGAAGAGCTGAATCTATCAAAGTCAATCATCGTACAATGTTCTCCTAGTTCTGCTCAGTTCATTCTACACCAGTTCATTCTTTCCAAGTTTTAATTCTGCCTGCTCATCATTTCTTATAGCACAATAGTATTCCATTACATTCATATATTACAACTTGTTCAGTCATTCCCCAATTGATGGGCATCCCCTCAATCTCCAGATCTTTGCCACTGCAAAAAGAGCTGCTATAAATATTTTTATACATGTGGGTCCTTTTCCCATTTTTATGATCTCTTTGGGCTGCTGACCTAGAAGTGCTATTGCTGGGCCAAAGGGTATGATAGCCCTTTGGGCATAGCCCCAAACTGCTCTCCAAAATGGTTGGATAGTTCATAACTCCACCAATGATGTATTAGTGTTCCAATTTTCCCACATCTTCTCCAACATTTATCATTGTCCTCTTTTGTCATGTTAGCCAATCAGGTGTGATGTGGTACCTGAGAGTTGTTTTGATTTGCATTTCTCTAATCAATAGTGATTTAGAACATTTTTTCATATGACTATAGATAGCTTTAGTTTCTTCCTCTGAGAACAACCTGTTCATATCCTTTGACCATTTATCAATTGGGGAATGACTTGTATTCTTATAAATTTGACTTAGTTCTCTATATATTTTAGAAATGAGGCCTTTATCAGAGACACTGGTTGTAAAAATTCTTTCTCAGTTTTCTGCTTCCCTCCTAATCTTGGATGCATTAGCTTTATTTGTGCAAAAGCTTTTCAATTTAATGTAATCAAAACTGTTCATTTTGCATTTCATAATGTTCTTTATCTCTTGTATGGTCATAAATTCTTCCCTTCTCCATAGATCTGAAACGTAAACTATTCCTTGCTCTTCTAGTTTGCTTATAGTATCAGTCTTTATATCTAAATCATGTATCCATTTTGACTTTACCTTGGTATAGGGTGTAAGATGTTGGTGCATCCCCAGTTTCTGCCTTATATTTTTCCATTTTTCCCAGCAGGTTTTGGTAAATAATGATTTCTTATCCCAGAAGCTGGAGTCTTTGGATTTATCAATTAGTAGATTAGTAGTCATTTACTTGTGTCTTACATACTTAATCTATTCCACTGATCCACCACTCTGTTTCTTAGCCACTACCATGTAGTTTTGATGATTGCTGCTTTATAATACAATTTAAGATCAGGTACAGCTATAGCCAGATATTTTAAAAACAAGTTCATGGACCCCAGGTTAAGAACCTCTCTAAATCATCTTCTTCATTTTAAAGATGAGGAAATCGAGGCCAAAAGAAATGAAGTGACTAGGCTGAAGATCAAACTCAAACCTTGGTTTTCTGACCCCTAACCTACCATTCAATCTAATACATCACACTGCCTCTCAAATGTGACTACATCCATACAATCCAAAAGAAAAGTGACTGACATAGATCTCACTGATGATACATCAGTTGGCATACAAAGAATCATATACTGCTTCCAATTAGAGTATAATACATTCTCAAAATAGCTGTGCAATGGAAAAATGCTGCCCTTTTTTATATGTAATAGAGAATGGGTTGGAAAGAACACCATGAACTCCAATATGCAGAACTTGAGGGTGACCAAACTTATTTAACCACTGCCTGAGCCCAAGTGTGCTATTAATATTTAATATTTTTGTGATGGGAGAGAGTGTGATGAGAGGAAGTTCACTACTTAGATTGGGAATAGAAAGCTTAGGGGTTGTAGAAAGACAAGAACACTGATGCATTGTTGGTGGACTGTGAATTAGTACTGCCATAATAGAAAGCAGTTTGGAATTTTGCAAGTAAAGTGACTAAAACATCCATATCTTTTGCCTCATAGATTCCAGTCTTAAGTATATACCCCAAGCAGGTTATTGTGAGGAAAAAAGGCTGCATATACACCTAAATATTTATGACAGTACTTTTTGTGATGGCAAAGAACTGGAAACAAAGATGCCCACAGGCCAGGGAATAGCTAAACACACTGTAGTATATGAATGTAATGGAATATTACTATACTCTGGAGACTTTGCCTTCTTCCTTTGCTCATGTGGCCCCCTACTGTTGGTGAGTTCTTCTCAGAACCTTCATTCTGAAAAAGGACCCAACCCAGTCATCCTTCACTACATGGACTTTGCCACCATGTTCTTGAATCAGTACCTTTCCACCTCCCTTTTCAACTTCCTTTTATGTGTTGTCTTCCTCTGTTAGAATATAAGCTCCTTAAGGGCAAGTATGGTCTTCTTTCCTCGGTTCAGCAGAGTACCTTTCACATAATAAGTTCTTAAAAACTTCTTGCCATGTAAAAAATAAATACAGAGAAGCATGGAAACACATGGATTTATGCAAAGCAAAGTAAGCAGACCAAAGAACCTTGGGTTGTACTCCTGGCTCTATTACTAACTTTGTGACCTTGAGCAATTTGCTGTGAGCCTCAGTTTCCTCATCTGGGAAATAAATGGGTTGGACTCCATTATCTCTCCATCTTGTCTCACATTTCAAGGTACAAAAAGCCTCAAATCTTACTGATCCAAATGTAGCATATACTATAGAACTTTTCTAGTGGACAAAGGGTACTGCAGCTGCTAACTATGGAAAATGTCTCTTTTTGTTATTGCATATATAAAATAGTATGCAGTATTGCTAATAATACATAAAGTGTAGGATACATGTTACACAAGTGTCTCAATAGTCTGAAAAGAAAATAGGGTACAGGGCCCTAAAATTAGACGGTAAGCAGAATGCCTAAACAACATCTCCAGGAGAGGAAAATTAACAAAATATCAACACATCAAATACAAAAATTACAGCCAACAGCTAAAGTATATTGATGCTTGACTTTTAAGAGACAGGTCTTCTAGAATTATAAAATTTCACACCATTCTGCATTGATGAACGAGCATACTTGGTGAGCAGTGCACCAATTGTTTGCTTCTCTCCACATAGATCTCTGAGGAAAGAAAAAAAATTAGCATGATACTTTACAAGTAGCTGACTATAAAATTTTCATTATTAACTGTTGATAGGACAAACTAAACAGTTCTTCCTCCAGATTCCAGATCTTAGAGAATACGATACTGTTCCCCTAGCAAAATCTACGTTGACGACAATCCAATAACCTAGTGAGAAATGTACCACTAATCACAAACTTCCCCCAAATTTATATTAGGCTGTAAGATAGTGATTCAATATCCAGCAAATATTTAAAGTTTGCCTACTATGTACCAGACACTGAAAGATGTCCTTAATCAAATGGTGATAAAAATAGAGTACATGCCCCCAAGTAGTGTATAATCCAGAAAAAGAGATAAGGCATGCACATAACTAATCTCAAGTAGAATGAGATAAGTGTATAAAAAAAGGTATAGAACACTATAAAAAGTTCAGAGAGATAAATCCCTTCTATCTTGTAAGAGAATCAGAGTAGAGTTCATGAAATGACTGGTATTTGAGTTGAGCTCTGAAGGGCAAGTGAGATTTCAACAGGTGGAGAAAAAGAATCCTGGCAGGGGGAAGGCCATATCCCAAGTACAGGAAATGACAAAAATAAATTTTAAAAGGTATGAAAGCAGAGATTAAGTAATTCAGTATGAGTATACCTAATATGCTTCAGTTGAAGAAACCACTGGTCATGACAACCCATTAGCTACTGTATTGGTATTACTTTAAAAAATATATATATAAATCTCAAAACACAGTTTTAATAAATTACTTACTGAATATATGGAGCAATATCTTCTTCTGTCCACTTCTCCCTTAGAGTGAATAAGCTATTGAATCTTTCTTGATTTTCTTCAGGTAAATCATCTACCTTTAGCAAAAATATAGTCTCAGGCCGAGTATATTTATCCATGAGTGCTAAACCCTATAGATGATAAGGGAGAAGAAATGAAAGATTTGCTTTAATCTGAAACATAAGTGGTTTTATATTTCATTTTAACTTAATTACTTAGGATGTTATTTGCTACTAAATTATCAGAAAATTCCTTGGAGCCTTAAAACAGCACCAGTAATAAATGGCAACTTTTGCTTCATCTTCCTCCTACAACCTGTCACTAGCAACGAATATGTGCCTTACTCTCTTGATGGGTAACTAGAAGAATACAGAAAAAGTTCTCCTAATGGGATTAGCTTCAACTGCACATACTCTTTATATGTATTTTGTATGGTCATTTCCTTCTTTACCTACTGATTACAAAGGAACTCAGAGATAGACTGTATTTGTACAACAATGGAGACAAATGCAAAAATGTCAAATTTTTTACCTCAAAAGTCATAATATGGAAAAGTTCACTTTCTCTTATTCTTATTACCTATTCTCTCTAGAAGTTCTGATTACTGCACTTAGTTTTGCATATATATCAGTTGTGTGTATAACAGGCAGCTTGGCCTAAGGGACACACAATCCACCTAAGAGTCAGGACCACCAGGGTTCAAATTCCCTGACACGTACTGACTCTGTCACCCTGAGCAAATCACTTGACTCCTCAATGCCCAGGGTAACTCTTGAAGCCTACAAGCCTACTACTATATGAACTGGCCTTCGAGTAAAAGAAACAGTATTAAACAAGCTTAGGAAATAATGTAACTTGTGCTCATCCATATGTTTGTTGTTAACCCACTCCAGAACTTCACAGACTCAGTCTTACTCCTAGATTACGGCACTTTTTTTTTTAATAAATGTTCTCTCTAAATTTTAGGAGGTATCATACCAACTCTGAAATTCCTACTCCATGTTATTTTCCTGATCTCTGAGCTCTTGCTCAAAACTACCCTAATAACCTACTCGTTTCTTCTAAAGAGACAGTAACATGTTTCAGTTAAATTTAGGGTTCAACAGTCAGACTAGTTACTTCTCAGTCTGGCCAAAGATAAGGCAGCCCTTGGAGCTGAGTAAAGATGGAGAAGGTGGAAAGCCAATACTTTTCTAAAGAGCTCTTTTCTTAATCAGAAGCACTACTGACCATCTCTAAAAAATCAGAATGGCTCAAAAGCTGCTGACACAGATTCTTTTCTCAGAAAACTTTTTTAACTAGTGCAAGTGGTGTCCAGTCCCATCAATTGCTTCAGCCAAATCCTATGAATTGAATGGACAGCACAGGTAGTTTCATCTCAGTGAAGTCCATTGTGGCAAAAGGAGTATAAGTAGTATTAAGAAGGAGTAGATGGAAGAAAACAGCCCTGAACTGAAATCAAGAGTGGCTCAACATCCCCGAAAGCCTGATAACTGCCTATGGATACATGGGATATAGATGTATTGTACATAAGTGAGTATGGTGAATACTATCTTGATGGCTTGAAAGTTAATGTAGCTTTTGAAAAAAAATTATCTGAATCTACTCATTCCACTCCCAGATTTGATGGGAAAAGGTTAGGTAGGAAAAGAAGCTAAAAGATTACAGCTGAAGGAGAAGGAATAATCTGAATATGGAGAGGAAATCTGGGAGAACTTAGGTAGCAACTGGTGAAAGAATCTGATAAGACTAGAGGATGTAATTGGTTCAGTCAACTAGCATTTATAAAGCAGTATTTACAGTGCTAAGCATTGGGAATAAAAATACAAGTAGAAAACAGTTCCTGCCCTCAAGGGGTATACATTCTATGAGGAAAGACAACACTGAAAAGGAAGCTGAAAAGGAAGAATGAAGAGTGCTAAGGGCTGTTAAGAGGTTCCCTGAACTTGTCTTTTTGAGTTGCCATATCTTCCAGAAACACTGGACCCAGAGTATTCAAGAGGCCCTGAATGTGTCAAGATGAAGCGCCCCCACACTAACCTCCTCCAGTTGACATAATTTGTTGTTTGCATCCCACACTGTACTCCCTATGTGTCCTTGGGAGTCAAGACAGGCTCCAGACAGTCTGCACTAAGCTTGTGAAGCTGGGACTATAAGGAGACCATCATATTCTCACTGTCTAGCAGTTCACAAGGGAAAATCCTGCTTTTGCCATCACCTTGCCCCTCCCCTTTGGGAGGGGTTTTGTCCTTTTCCTACCTTTACTGCATCTTTCCCCTCCCACCCATGCCCTTTTAGGTGGAGATTCTAGTATCTCCTCCTTCCTTTGTCCTGCTGCCATAAATATGTAAACTTCTGTATGAATTGTGAACTCTTTGGATTCCACATGCATGTACATTTCTCTTGTAATAAACCTAATTTTCATATAAGTTTTGTGAAGTTCTGATTGCCTGTTGACAAGAAGAGCATGGTAAGAGAAGACCAGAGAGCTGACTTGAGAAGAAAGAGAGAAGCCTAGGCACCCTCCTCAAATGGAGGTTCTGGGAGGAGCCATCCAATCAGAGGAAGAGGCCAAAGGATCAGAGAGTTTGCTTCCACTGTGTGAATTCCAGGGCTGAAGTGAGGCCTCTTAATATTAGAAAATTGGGCATGGCATGGTTTCAGGATGAAGAGCTGGGACAAGCTAAAGTCTAGGGTTCAGCCTAGAGAAGGATGAGTTGGGTGTGTCAGTCAAAGCCCTAATGAGGTGAAAAGATGCTAATGATAAGGAAAATGAAAATTAAAGGGCCACACCAGTTGTTAGCCAGAGCACTTACACAGGGCAGCTAATGGCAGGAACAAAGGTTCTTAACAAGTAGGAAGAATAGCAACTACCTCATTAAGGTTGTAATGAGGATCAGAAGAATTAAGGGATGTAAAAGGCTTTGCCTTAAACCTGAAAGCTGCCATATAACTAGAAATTATTATTGTTATCATCAAGGATAATTCAGTGGCTGTGGCCTGCAGAGGCCATCCTTAAGCCCTTCTCTTTTAGGAGGAAGACCAGCCTAGACCCGAAGCACAAATAAGCTACTTGGCTGGGGCTGCAAGACAAACGATTATGCTGAGGACAACCTCTCTACTCTTTAGGTTATAAGACCAAAGCATCCTTTTATAAACTGGAAGAAAGGCTTCAGTATAAAAGCAACTAAGAAAAAGGATACAAAGAGGCAGGAGGAATCCTGATCAGTGTCAAGAGGTTGGAAGGTCAAAGATGTGACACAGAAGATATAAGTAAGAAGAAAGATCACTGAACATTGGGAGCTAAACAAGAGAGATGAGGCTCTTCCTTCAGGAAGACAGGCAGTTATTTCTCTGGCAAGAACTGATGAAGTGGATCCATAAGTGCTGTGGGGAGGTGAGACAACTAGATAGCAAAGTGTATCAGGAAGACCAGAATTCAAATCCTGTCTCAGATAATGTCACACATTAATTGTGTTACTGTGGACAAGTCACTTAACCTTTCTCAGCCTCAGTTTCCTTATCTGTAAAAATAAAAGGGGTTGTATTAGATGGCCTCTAAGGTCTCTTCCAGCTCTAATTCTATGATTACTGAAGGTCAGAAGAAGAGGCATCAGTAATAGTGGTTGATGACTACTTGACGAGAGAGAATTCTGCTGTCTTCGTAGAGTACGTATCTAGGACATGACAGAGCCCAAGACCTGTTACACCTGACAATTACCACCCACTTACAATGACTCATATAGTAATGACACTACTAGAAGGAAATCTAGAAGGTACTGAATGCTAAGGATTATAATTTCTAGGGCAAGAAACTGAAGACCTTAGGGGCACAGATGATACTTTCTTCACTGCTGTCAATGGAATGTAAGACAGCTGGAAGTGAAAGGCAGATTTAATTAATAACATGGAATCTGAAAATAGGATTTTAATTTCTTATTAATTTACAGCTGAAAGGGGAACCCTAAATGTCACTGAATCTAGCTCAGAAAACCAAGACCCAGAGACAGCTTGGTAAATAATTTGCCCAAGGTCACATAGGTAGTTAGTAGCAAACCGGGGTTTGAATCCAGGTCCTCTTACTACAAATCCAGTGTTCATTCCATTAATGCCTTTTGTTTATGGACTACAACTCAGAATACAGAAATGACAGGCTCTTGGCCATGAATGAAGCACACTTAACGAGGATTATTAAAAATGTATTCGCCTAGAGTCTGGCAAATTTAATCAAAAGGTTTAAACTGAAAAAGGAAGAAGGAGGAAGTATACTTAGGCAGTCTCACATCAGCAGAACTACCCAGAAAATCATGAGATAGCATCCATTAAAAAGTAAATGAAAGGGGCAGCTAGGTGGCGCAGTGGATAGAGCACCAGCCCTGGAGTCAGGAGGACCTGAGTTCAAATGTGGCCTCAGACCCTGGGCAAGTCACTTAACCCCGAACTGCCTAAACCAAAAAAAAAAAAAGTCAATAAAAAACCCATGGCCTCAGTTGATCATACACAAACATAAAAGGTATTATTATGAAGTGAAAGAAAAAGAGAGTTCCTAGTTCCAAGTGACTTATTTGATGTCATGTCACAGGAATCACTGAGACTTAATGTAATAATTAAACTATGGCTCTGAAAAGATATACCTAATTTTAAAGGAATAGGATAAGTAAAAGAAGGATTGGAGGGTCAAATAGCATGGTCTTTTAAGAGGTATACACATGCTAAGGAAATCCAGGATCTGGAAATCATGGAGGGCATAAAGTGCAAAAACCCAATTCAGCTGTATTAAGAGAGGCACAATGTCCATGACTAGAGGTAGTCCAGCAGTTCACTGTCCTGCTCAAATCACATCTCAGAATTGTGTTCAGTTCTGGATGCCCCATTTGAGGAAGGTGATCAGGATGGACCTGCCTGATCAGGCTCAAATAAAAGAACAAAGGATGTTTACCTTGAAGAAGAGAAGACATAAGGGGGATATATATAGTAGCTGTCTCCAAGTGATGAAGCATTAAACTAATTTTGCTTGTTGACAGAGTAACATGAAAAAAAAAACTAGGGATAAAAGGTAAGGTTTAGGCAATCTTAGCCAAGATGTCAGGAAAAATTTGCTAAGAATTGGGGCTATCTCAAAATTCCTAAGAATGAAAGCTGTCTTATGTAGTGAGTTCCCCTTACTAAAGGTATTCAAGCAGAGACTAGATCAACTTGTCTAGTATTTTATAAAAGGGATCCTTGTTCAGGTATGACTTGAACTAGATGTAACCTCTGAGATCCCTTCCAATTCTGAGATTCTACAAGTTTATGTTACAATCAAGAGAACTCAAGGAATTGGAGCATGTGACCCAAAAAAAGTTAAAATTACAACCACTGTCACTCATCAATCAGATTTAAAAGTAGAAGGGACTTTAAAGGTAATCTAGTCTAACTCCTCATTTAACAGATGAGGGATAATGGAGCCTAGAGAGGTGACCTGCCCAAGGTCACAACAATTTCTGCCCAGGTCCTCTGACTTCAAAATTAGCACTCTTCCAATGAAACCATGAAATAATATTCATAAAACCTTAGCAGACAGCTTGGTATTGCTTGTTCCTTTCTCCCTTCCTCTTGTTCCAAGTTACAAACAGCAGATATGTGAATACCCAAATATTCAACCAATTACATATTATCTTGTTTTACCTGCGACCACCATTTTACACCTTGTCTACATCACCTATAAGTTGTTTTTTTTTATAAAGGCTCTTATATGCAGTTTTAAAAATAGAAAGCAAAATCTGCAGTCATATAATTGTGTTTCATTTAATGACAAAAACCTCTCAAATTATTAAAATCTTTCATCATAAGAAATTATGAAAGGAACGGTTTCAGAGAAACTAGGAAGACTTGTATGAACTAATTCAGGATGAAAACAAAACCAGGAGAACACCTTATAAAATTACATTATAAAGAAAAACTGTTTTGAAAGTCTTAGTAACTATGATCAATGCAATGACTAGCCAAACTCCAGGTTCCTTAAGAAACTCTAAGAATCCAAATCTCTTTTAATTATATGAAATTCCAGAGGACTCATGATAACATGGTATTCACCTCCTTACAAAGAGTTGATGAACTTAAGGTGCAGAATGAGATATGTGTGCACACACACACACATACAGATTTTACTTCATTTTTTCTTTTTTTAAATTCAATTTTATTTTCAGTTCCAAATTCTCTCTCCCCTTCTTCCTCCTCACCTCTTCCCCCTGCCACTTCTCTTCCCCCACTCACTGAGAAGGCAAGAAAAACAAAACCCATCACAAATATGTATGTTTGTGCAAAACAAATGTCTATGTCTTGTCCAAAAAAAAAGAAAGAAAAAGAAGAAAATATGTTTCAGTCTTCATTCTGGGCCCATCAGCTCTCTATCTGGATGTAGATCCTATGTTTTATTATGAGTCCTCTGCAATTATGGTTTAAAGAAATATTTTGAATATAGCTAATGTTGGAATTTATTTTACTTGATTATGCATATTTGCTTCTTAGGTTTTGTTTTTCTATTTTTTTCCACTGGGAGAAGGGAAAAAAGATGAGAGAGGTGCTATAAATACAAAAGGGGGGGAGGGAGAGAAGGAGGAAGGAAAGAAGGGAAGGAGGGAGGGGAAAAAGGGTCAGTGAAACATTTTTAAATGCACAGAAGAGAACAGAAGGAAAGCCAGAAGGAAACACAGACAAGCAGGGCAGCTTTGAAAATCACATGTTTAATTTATTATATAATTAAAAGGAAAAGCAAGCTGTACATAAGAGGGATTCATAGTTTCATGCAACAGCCTCTTTTTTTCTGTTCCACTTTGCATGTGGAAATGTTCATGACAGTTGGTATTTGTTAAATTCAAAATTCTTAAAATCAAATCAAATAATTAAATATATACAAAGTTATGAAAACCAAATTGCAAAATTACAAAATCAAATTACAAAAGTCATCAGTTTGTGACATTACCTTCAGCTGATCCATTCTAGTTGTCATTCCTTCAGGAACACTTTGTTGCCACACTTCCTGAAATTCAGAGAGATTAAATCTCACTGCATTCTGTAATAGCATCTGTGCCGTTGCTCTGCATATTTTATTGGTATTTAATTCAAAATAAACTTCGCCTAAGAAAGAAAAACAGCTCACTTCAGACCTTATTCAAACTTGTTATGTTTTCTTTATATTCAGAGTTCTTTCTCAAATCAAATTTAACTCCTTGTCTCACTTTCCTTCCCTGCAGTGATACTGTACATAATCTGCAAAATCTTATCAAATATCAAGGTTATTTTCTTTACCTGAAGGTACAATTAAGGTAATCTTTCTTACCAAGTCTTACCTTCATCCATATATTTCTTTCCATAACATTCAAGACAGTGTTCTATCATTTGCCTGAAAAAAATCAGAAATGTAATTTGAAAATGTATCATCACAATCTACTTATGTATTATTTTAAGAATCTTTATCAACCCCCAACCAGAAACTAAGATATGAATTTGGGTTTTGTAATAACAAATAATTTTGAATTCTGAATAATAGTTTTTGAGCACATGCAAATTTTCAAGGCTAAAAGAAATATTATATAACCCTTCTTTATACTATTCTAGCTACTATAAAGGAAATAATTGGTACATATAGCAAAATTCCTGGTTCCTTAAGAAATTGCAAGATTCAAAATTCCTTTCAATTATACATAAAATTCAGTTTCCCAAAATTTGAATTATTTTATAGCTTGACTGGTTGCTAATACTTACCAGGCTAGAAAAATAAAAAATAGCTTTTATTTTATGTTTCCACTTAGAAAGAAATCTTGTGGACAACAAGCATTTAAAATACTCACTCTGGTTCCAATGGTCCAAGTTCCTGAAGACAGGTAGTTAAAGGAACTCTATTAAAAGGCCAAGATTCAGAATCCACAAGCTGAGTTATATGATTTAGAAGTTTCATCTCATAATCAAATTCAAGACTCCTCCAGTAACCTATTAATATCAGAAATGCATTTTACATCAAAAAGACTATTCCATCTAGTCATTTTAAGACCTTCACTCTATACATCAAAAAATTTCATCACCTGATAGCCACCCTACTGGTGATAAGCTTCTCTATGGTTAGCTAGGATGTTCTTGGGACAAGAGATAACGCAGGCTGTTTCTGGATCTGTCAATAAAGCAATTCCACTGCTATACTGGGACAGTGGAGTCACCTCTAGCCCACAATGAGTGAGTTAAAGAGGGGCTTGGTGAAGAGATTGCAATCTACTTTGCTGGAGGAAGTATCCACATCAATGAAATATTATCCATCAGATACTGACAACTGTGTTAGGTAAGACATTTTCCTATTTGATAAATGAGTGACTTCCAACAGAGAGTGTAACTTACCTAAGGTCACACAACTAAGATTAGAACCCAGATCTCCTGACAAACTCTCTCATAGTCACCTCCAAACAACCATAAAACAAATCCTAGAACAGCAGAACCAGCAAAAAGATGGAGTGAAACAATTTTTGAGCCCAAGAAACTTGGAAGATCAGCAAGAGAGGTCTGTGTTGTTAAGGTAAAAGGGGAACGCAGTCCAGGACAGGAATCATTCCAGCAAGCCAGCAGCAGGCCCCACATCAACAAACCAGTTGGAGATCCTGAGCCCCAGTGCAATAAAGCAGGCAAACGCCAACACCAGGGCCACCCCCACCCCCACCCCTGCCTCACATGCCTCAGCATAGCCAGGAGAACAGCAGATGCCAGCTCTTAAAACTGCCACTTGCTTCAGCAGAGCCCTGGGCAAACAGGCAGCCACCAGTGGCCAGATCCCCATGTGCTTCAGTGTAGCCCTAAGGAAACACAGAAACACCACACCAGCCTCAGCACATGCCAGACACCAGCACTAGGACCCCCAGCTCAGCACCAGGTAAGCTACTTGAGAAACCTGAGATAGTGCCCCTTCCACCCTGGAAGCAGGGCTCAAATTTAAAAGAAAGTAAAAAGGCCAAAAAAGATGAGAAAAAAACAAACAAACAAGAAAAAAAGAATCTGACCATAGAAAGTTATTATGATGACAGGGAAAATCAAGACAAACTCAGAAGACAACAACAATGTCAAAACATGTATCAGCAAAACCCCAAACAAAAACAGGAAGTGGTCTCAAGCCCAAGAAAGAAATCATGGAAAAACTCAAAAAGGAGCTTAAAAATCATATGAGAGAGAGAAGAAAAATTGGGAAAAGAAATGAGAGCAATGCAATAGAATTATGAACAAAAGAATCAAAAGCTTGAGGAAAAAAAAAACAAAACAGCCAACTACTTTAAAAAGTAGAACTGGCCAAATGAAAAAGAGATACAAAAATCCACTGAAGAAAATAACTCCTTAAAAATTATAATTGGCCAAATGGAGAAGGAAGTACAAAAGCAAAGTAAGGAAAACAACTCCTTAAAAGTTAGAATTGGGCAAGTGGAAGCTAATGACTCTATGAGACATCGAGAATCAATCAAACAAATTCAAAAGAATGACAAAATGTAAAATACCTCATTGAAAAGTGACCTGGAAAACAGATCCAGGAAAGACAATGTCAGAATCACTGGACTATCTGAAATGAAAGTCATAATCAAAAGGAGGACCTGGAAAGCATCTTTAAAGAAATTATCAAGTAAAACAGAAGACAAATAAGTATAGTATGGGTTACATAGATGTATATGAATGTATGTCTATATATGAATATGATTGTAGATATCTAAGTATATGTATCTATATCTTTGTGCATGTATGTATATATGTATGTTTGTGTGTGTGTGTGTGTGTGTGTGTGTGTGTGTGTGTGTGTGTGTGTAGAGGGATAGTTCCATCCACACATAATTGCAGCCTTGGAGAAGAAGGGGGAGGAAGGGGGGAAAAATAACAAAGTAGAAATTCCACAGGAGGGAACCAAAAAAAAAGTATAAGGAAGCAAAGAAAAGATGAACAGCTCTGAACATAATGTGTAGTATTTATTATAGGCTTTCTTGAAATGGAAATTTATTGTTGCATATTTTGAATCCTCTCTTACCTTCTGCTGTGCACATGGCAATGTTTTGTTTTTCTTTTCTTATTTTGCATTTAAGTTTATATTTATCTTATGGTGTACTTAAGTTTTAGTATTTAAGTTTAAAATAAATTATAAATTACTTTAAAAAGAAAAAAGAAAAAAAGAAATTATCAAGAAAAACTGCCCTGCTATCCTGGAACCAGAGGGCAAAATAGGCACTGAAAGAATCCACTGATCACCTCAGGAAAGAGATCTAAAAATACAAATTCAAAGGAACATTAAAGCCAAATGACACAACTATTAGGTCAAGGAAAAAAGTACTGCAAGTGGCCAGAAAGAAACATCGGGGAGCCACAATCAGGATTACACAGAACTTAGCAGCTGCAACATTAAAGGATCAGAGGTCATGGAGCATGATATTCCAAAAGGCAAAGGAGCTAGGATTATAACCAAGAATCACCTACCCGGCAAAATTAAGCATAATACTTCAAGGGGAAAATGGTCATTCAAAGAAATAGAAGGATTTCAAGCTTTCATAAGGAGAACCAGAACTGAACAAAAAATTTGATCTCCAATATCAAGACCCAAGAGACACCTAAAAAGGGGAAAAGGGAAAAGGAAACATAAGGAATTCAATGAAGCTGAACTGTTTACATTCCTACATGGGAAGATGATAGTTGTAATTCTTTAAAATTGTCCCATTAACAGTACAGCTGGAAGGAATATATAGAGAGGTTGTGGGTATAAGGTGAATTTGAGGGGATGACATAAAAAATAATTAAAGGATGAGAAAGAGGAGTATACTGGATACAAAAAAATAGAAAGGTGGAATGGGGTAAATTATTATTTTTTTTTTACAATTTAAAATAAAAAAGCTTTAATGAGAATATTGGGCTTGAATGACCCTCCCAAGTTCTAAAGCCTATGACAATTTCTAAGTATTCAGAAGTTCACAGACAAGAAACTGAGAAAACCATTTTAATATGTAAATTAGATGCCAGTTCCTAATAAAGCACATGCAAACATACACACTTTTAAGTTAAAGTTATAGGCAGGGATATATTCCCTTGACACACCAAACTCTTGGAATTGGAGTCTATCCAAATCACCAGACAGTTTGCAGAATCTTTGTGAGACACTTCATCTTTCTTCTCAATTATTTTTTTTCTGTGTGGCCTCCAATTTTTTGTTGCTTTTGTGCTTCCAGTCTTTCCCTCTGCCACATTTTGGCTCCAGCAAATGCCAAACAAAGAATTATAGATTTTGCAATCAAAATATAGATCAGAAGAGAAAAGTTTTCCAAAGCCTTGGAGGAGGGCTCCCAGCATATTGGATCAATTGTGAAACTGCTCCTGGCTAGAGGTCACCAGGAGAGAACAAAGGAAGCAGAGAAAGAAAAAGAAGGCAGAACCCACTTACCTCTCTGTAGCCATTTCATGGTGCAAGGAATGGGGTAAACTATTTCACATAAAGAGGCACAAAAAACCTATCAGAGTAGAGGGAAAGATGGGAGGGTGGGCAATGGGCATCACTTGAACCTTACTTTCATCAGTATTAGTTCGAAGAGTTGAATATAGAAATCTATCTTACCCAACAGGAAAGTAAGAGGGGAGGAGATTAAGTAAAGGTGTGGGGGGCAAAAAGGTAGGGACTAACAGAACAGGGCAGACCGGGGAAAGCAGTAGACAGAAGCAAAACACTGTTGAGGAGGGAAAGGGTGAAAGGAGAGAGAGGATGAACAGGAAGAAAAAATAGGATGGAAGGAAATACATAGTAATCATAACTATGAATGTGAATGAGATAAACTCTCCCATAATCTGAAGTGGATAGCAGAATGGATCAAAAAACCAGAATCCTGCAATATGTTGTTTACAAGAAATACTCTTGAAGCAAAGAGACACACAGAGTAAAGGTAAGGGGCAAGAGCAGAATCTGTTATGCTTCAGCTGAAGTTAAAAAAAGCAGGGATAGCAATCCTGATCTCAGAAAATCAAAAGCAAATATAGACCTAATTAAAAGAGATAAGGAAGGAAATTACATTTTGCTAAAAGGTACCAGAGACAATTGAGGTAATATCAATATCAAACATATATGCACCAAGTACTGTAACATCTAAACTCTTAAAGGAAAAGTTAAGTGAGTTACAGGTTTGTAACCAAACGAGATAGAGAGCATTATGAAATGTAAAACAGATAATTTTGATTATATTAAATTAAAAAGCTTTTGTATCACCAAAACCAATGCAGCCAAGATTAGAAGGGAAGCAGAGAGCTGGGAAACAATCTTTACCAACAGTGCCTCTGATTAAGGCTTCATTTCTCAAATATATGGAGAACTAGGTCAAATTTATAAGAATATAAGTCATTCCCCAATTCATAAATGGTCAAAGGATATGAACATGCAGTTTTCAGATAAAGAAAGATCTATAATCACATGAAGAAGTGCTCTAAATCACTTTTGATTCAAGAAATGCAAATTAAAACAACTGTGAGGTACCACCTTACACCTACCAGATTGGCTAATATGACAAAAAAAGAAAATGATAAATGTTGGAGAGGATGTGGGAAAACTGGGACACTAAAGCACTGTTGATGGAGTTGTGAACTGATCCAACTGCTCTGAAGGGCATTTTGGAACTATGCCCAAAGGGCAACCAAACTATGCCTTACAAGGCCTTTGATACCCTTTGATACAGCAATATCTCTTCTAGGTCTATATCCCAAAGAAATAATAAAAATGGGAAAAGGACCTACTTGTGCCAAAATATTTACAGCAGCCCTTTTCATGGTAGCAAAATGTTATGAAAGTAATGGAATACTATTATGCAATAAGAAATGATAAAGAGGCAGATTTCAGAAAAATCTGGAAAGACTTATACAAACTGATGCAAAGTAAAATGAGCAGAACCAGGAAAACATTGTACACATCAGCAGTACTGTGTGATGATCAACTATGAATGACTCAGCTCTTCTCAGCAACACAATGATCCAAGACAGGTACAAAGGACTCACAAAGGAAAATGCTATCTACATCCAGATAAAGAATTGATGGACTCTGAATGCAGATCAAAGCATACTTTTTTCATTTACTGTATTCTTTTTTGTGTTTTTTTTCTGTTTCTTTCACAACTGTGACTAATGAAAATACGTTTTGCATGACAGCACATGCATAATCTATATCAAACTGCCTACCATTTTCAGAAAAGGGGAGGGGAGAAAAATTTGGAACTCAAAATCTTGTAAAAACAAATGCTGTTTCTTCCCTTGACCCGTCCTAGGTAATAATTTAAAATGGTGAGGTACTCTCTTGCTCCAGAGAACCCCACAAAATCACGCAAGTCAAGGGGTTCAAATCTCCGGGTCCACTTCAAGAACACCAGTGAAACAGCCCAAGCTATCAAGGGCATGCATATCCGAAAAGCTACCAAGTATCTGGAAGATATCACCTTGAAGAAACAATGTGTTCCCTTCAGGCGATATAATAGTAGAGTTGGCAGGTACGCCCAGGCTAAACAGTGGGGTTGGACACAGGGTCGTTGGCCCAAAAAGGGTGCTGAATTCTTGCTGCATACGCTTAAAAATGCAGAGAGTAACGCAGAACCGAAGGGTTTGGATGTGGATTCTCTTGTCATTGAGCATATCCAGGTTAACAAGGCTCCCAAAATGCAACAGCGTACTTACAGGGCTTGTGGTCGGATCAACCCATACATGAGTTCTCCTTGCCATATTGAGATGATACTTTCTGAAAAGGAACAAATTGTTCCTAAACCAGAAGAGGAGGTTGCTCAAAAGAAAAGATATCCCAGGAGAAACTGAAGAAACAAAAGCTTATGGCATGGGAATAAATGTGACATTAGAAAGCAAATAAAAGTGAAATGAAAACAAAACAAAACAAAAAACAAATGCTAAGAATTGTCTTGACATGTAATTGGAAAAAAAAATACTGTTTTAAAAAAAGAATAATTTGTATAAAGTATCCCCTTTTCCATCCCCCTCTCCAAAAAACCTACAAAAACTTAAGACATTCACCTACAAGTACATATAGAGACTATAGAAACAGTGGGCTTAAACTTATAATATGATGGAAGTGAAGCACACATAGAGAATATGTGTGATCAAAGTGTAAACTCACAACCCTTGATTATTTTGAGTCCTTTTCTTCCTTGTCCTTATCAAGTTTCACTTAGGAATAGCTCTCTGCTGGGCTCTGAGGATTGGTGCCATTCTAGAGTTAATAACTGACCCTTCTTTCTGGGGTGAGGGCCTTCACTGAAGCTGTCAGTGTCCTTGAGTGTCTGCCTTTCCACATCCATCTGCAACTGCTTCCTTTGTTGCTAGCCACTACCACTCTGGTGGTGAATGCTACAGCCTCTGGTCACCCAGGGAATCTCTGTTGGCTCTGATGGATCTCCTGAACATATATATGATTACCATGGGGAGAGCTTTCCACTCTCTCCAAGGTGTGGCTGGAGTTTTGGCACCACAAGACTGGCATGTGTCTGGAATCGAGAATTCCAAACCAGCTTGCTGTTTTATGCACACGAATGTAGGTACATCTGACCTTCTAAGCTAATCACAGGAATCACGTATTTCCTGTGTGGCAGCATCTGTCTTCATCCAGTGATCAAAGCACTTGCATCTTTTCAGTTTGATTAAGGACTTCTTCCTACCCAGTCTGCTTTGATCACTGAGTGATTGAGATGGGGGTGTCAAACCCCTCCCTAACAAAATTTAACCCTTATTTTATACATGAATAAACTGAGGCCCAGAAAAGTGACTTTCCCAAGGTCACACAAATAATGTCAGGATTCAAATGAAAGTTCTCTAACTCCAAGCCCAGTAGTAATCTCATTATGCCACAATGAAAGAAATAGACCATAGATATGAAAGAATTTTTAAAAAGTTAAAAACACAATAATACAAATATAATTTCTTTAAGTCATATTTTTAGGGCTAGAAGAAATTTTAGAAGCCAAAGTTCAATTCTCTTAATATACAAATAAAGAAACAAATGCCTAGAGAGGTCAAGGGCTTAGTCGAGAGTCACACAGCTAGTAAGTATCTAAGAAGAGATTTGAATCTAGGTCTCCTTGATTCCAGGTCTAGCATTCTACCCACAACACTGCACCTCTTCCAGAGATTACTGTAAGAAGCAGTACAAAGCTATCACTACTGTTGGAAAAATACAAATTAACTACCCTATCATTTCTAAGAAAAAAAATAACAGCTAGTAGCTGCCAAGAACTGTGCAGAACATTTTATAAATATTATCTCACTTGATCCTCATGAAAACCCAGGGAGGTAGATGCTACTATTATCCCCATTTCACAGATGAGCAAACTAAGACAAATGGAGATTAAGTGATCTGCTCAAGGTCACACAGGCAGCTAGGTGGCGCCCTAGTAAAAAATGTGCCTGGAATCAGGAAGACGAGTTCAAATTTGACTCCTTACTAGCTGTGGTGACCCTGGGCAAGTCATTTAACCTGTTTGCCTCAGTTCTTTCAACTATAAAATGAGGATAATAATCATATCTATCTCTCAGGGTTGTTGTAAAGGATCAAATTAATATTATAAAGTATTTAGTACAGTGCCTGGCACATGGTAAGTGTTATATAAATGTTACTGTTGTTATATCATCATCATCATTAGTTTGAGGCCAAATTTGAACTTAGGTCTTCCTGACTCCAAGCCCAGCACTCTATCCACTGGCACCTAGCTGCCTCAGAACAAATCTGTGATATTCAAAAACAGAGAGGGAAAGTAGAATACTATTAATCACACCTTCTCTGAAGTCCTTATGTTCTTTCAGGCCCCAAATTTAAAAGGATACTTTGTAAGTATATTTTCACTTCTTTTTCAGAAACTGGACAGAATCCTAGAAGGAATACCAATGTTTAGCCTGTTGGCACTGTATAGCCCCTAGTGCCCATCTCACTAAATGAGTTTAGACAAACTAACATTTTTAAGGAGCTAGTATTAGAAGAGGTTAAGAAGCTGTTTCTAATTAACTTTGATGTTGTGTCAGTAGTTTTAATCAGGCTCCTTGGAACTGGACTTCGTGAGATTTCAAGCTTTTTCAGGTACCCCAAAACAGATCAAAAGTCTAATTATCTAAGACAAGTCCTGTCCTCATAATCCATGGGTATAGATTAACAGCAGTGGTAGCACGGCTGACGTGGGGCAAAGAAGGCAGGCAGAAACCTACTGAAGTACAGCTCAAGTACTAAACACTAGGTAGGGAAATAAACCAGACCTAAAAAAGAAGAGGAAAAGTAAGGACAAACCATGAAAACAGATGTGGAAGAGGAACAGTAGAAAGACCACTGCATTCAGAAATCAGACCAGCTGGGTTAATCTTGGCTCTGCTACATACTGGCTGAGTAACCTTGGGCAAGTCTATTGAGTTGGGAAAATATTTATCAAGCACTTCATATATGTGCTAATTACTTCAGATACAAATTTTTAAGTGATATTGTTCCCACTCTCAAGAAGTTTATATTCTTTTAACAGGAGAATTTTAAGAACTTCCCTGGGCTTGTTTCCTTCTATGTAAAACAAGGGGGGTGGATTAGATGATCTCTACGGTTCCTTCTATTTCTATTTACACATTTTTCAAGAATAATAATACTATTTATATAATGATTTAAGGTTTTCAAAGATCTTTATATGTCATCTATTTGACTCTCACAACAACTCTAGGATTATGCCCATTTTACAGAAGGGGAAACAGATTAAGAGTGGTTAAATGACTTATCTAGGTTTGAAAAGCTACTAAGTATTTGAATTTAAGTCTTCCTAATTCAAATCCAATAAATACTCTATTTATCCACTACCCAGAGCTGCTTTTTCTTTCAAAAAAACACAGACACAAACACTGGCCCTAGCCGTTTTTTACATAGACTGTATGGCACACTGGAATCAATAATAAGGTGGCATGGGTTTGAGACTCGGCATTGACATCGCTCTCAGATGAGCGATGGACAAAATTGTCATCTTGTTGCTATCAAGCTGATTCCAAATCTCTCCAACTTAACTAGGTTGGCCTTTGGACCACAGAAAGTTCTTCACAGTTAGGGAAGGGAGGGTGGAATTAATCTGGGAACTCTGGATCTCTACTAAATCATTTATCTATTCAATTAAACAATGATAAACCCTGTAAGCAGTCATGGTCACAGAGTAGAGGCGGAGCTTTGTCCACTAAATATTCTCAGTATCAGTCAATCAACAAGTACTTTTTAAGCTCTTACTAAGTAGCAAGCACCATGGGTAGTTGAAGATAAAAGAAACAGCCTGCTCTCAAGACTCCTCCTTTGCATGAGAATAAATAGTACAACCAAAACACAAAGACACCCCCCCCACCACTGGTCCTGTCACCTTGAAACACAAAAATGACACTTAACTAAGATGAAGAAGTCCCAGGATTCTACCTCTTGTAATGCCTCTTCAGTTCCCTATTTCCTAATACTACTGATGATAAAAATAATAAATAATACTACCTCCAATTTCACAGGCATGGAGAACTTGTAAATGGGCCAGGATTTCCTCCTCACTTGCCTGAATTTGATCAAGCAAGTCTGCCATTGTATACTACAAAGCAAAAATAGGTAAGTGAGCCTCAGACATACAATCTAATGCTGCTTTCCAGAATTCCTTTTGCAACCTTCGGCATGGATGCCAAAATGCAATTACTAAATTGGACCAATGACACAGTCTTACTTTGTTTTGTTGATAATAAGTAAAGACTGCTTGTTGATAATAAGTAAGTTTCTGCTAACAAAAAACAATTCTAGTGTGACAATAGAGTTTTCAGTTTTGGATTGCATTTTTAAAATGTGTTCCTCACAAAACAGTTTCTTTCTAATTTAAATTTTGTCCTACATTTTCTTAAATCAATTTTGACACATTCATAAGATTGTTCATTTACATAATGTCTTTCCCCAAGAGATACTTTTAAAAACCCTCTAATTTTGCTTCTATTAAACTATCATTTAATTTATTAATATACAAAAATAAATTTCTTTTCATTTATAAAATGTCACCACTAAGAATCTCCAATTCTCTAATTATGAAAACACATCAACTGAACAAATTAACTTCAGAAGTCTTACTTTTGAATGATTTGAATCCTTTTCTTTTTGAGCATCAGGCCCTTCATATGGATTTTCCATCAGAAGTTTCTTCAGTTTCTTTAATTTTGGTCTACATCTTCTTAATTCCCAATAATTGTTAGCAAAACCAAAGATCTACAATTTAAAAAGTATTATAAACATTAATACACTCTGCCACACGAAAATCATCAAATAAAATCCAAACAGAAAGAAAATACCTATGAATAAAAAAACACAACAGAATCAAGAAGGAATACACCTAAACTATCCCTAATATTTGAGATGGAAAGGTACATTTATTGATTTCCTTGTAACTGCTATGGATGTCAGGGCATCAGTTACCATGGAGAGTCTTCAATAATGCTTGACCTTGGATAGCTTCCCTGAGCCTCAGTTTCCTCATCTGTAAAATGTGGCTGGATTACATGGCTTCTAGTCCTTTCCAGATCTATCTATGATCCTATAGTCTTATTAAATCATATTTTATTGCTGTAGTTGTTAAAAGAAAGGAAAGGAGGGTAGCTCTAAGAGAAAATGACTGATAGAAAAACAAAACACAACAATAACTGCTTTTTTTTCATTTCTTTACTTTTTTATTTTTTGCATGTGAAAACAATTTTTTTTTTAACATTTGTTTTTAAAACTTTGGGTACCAAATTTTCTCCCTAGCTCCCTCCTCACCCACCCTCTTTGAGAAGGCAAGCAACTCCATACAGGTTATACATGTGTAGTCATGCAAAACACTTCCATAGTAGTTGTGTTGTGAAAAACTAAGTATATTTCCCTTAATTTTATCCCGCCTCCCATTTATTCTATTCTGTCTTTTGACCCTGTCCCTCCTCAGAGGTATTTGCTTCTGATTACCCCCTCCCCAAATCTGCCCTCCCCTCTATCATCTCCCTCATCTCTTGTTCCCTTTCCCCCCTAATTTCCTGTAGAGTAAGATAGATTTTCATACTCACTTGAGTGTGTATGTTATTCTCTCCTTAAGCCAAATCCGATGAGAATAAGATTCACTCATTCCCTCTCACCTTCCCCCGTTTCCCCTCCACTGTAAAAGCTTTTTCTTGTCTGTTTTTTGTGAGATAATTTACCCCGCTCTACCTCTCTCTTTCTTCTTCTTCCAGTATAATCCTCTCTCACTCCTTAATTTAATTCTCCAGATATCACCCCTTCATCCCTGTGCCCTCTATTTTATCTATCTATATATACATACATATAATTTTTTCCCTCCAATTACCCTAATACTGACAAAGGTGTCATGAGTTACAAATATCATCTTTCCATGCAGGAATGTAATCAGTTCAACCTTAATAAGTCCCTAATCATTTCTCTTTCCTGTTTACCTCTCCATGTTTCTCTTGAGTCTTATATTTGAAAGTCAAATTTTCTATTCAGTTCTGGTCTTTTCATCAAGAATGCCTGAAAGTCCTCTATTTCACTGAATGTCTACTTTTTCCCCCTGAAGGCTTATACTCAGTTTTGCTGGGTAGGTGATGCTTGGTTGTAATCCTATCTCCTTTGCCCTGGGAATATCATATTCCAAGCCCTCTAAATATAGAAGCTGCTAAATCCTCTGTTATCCTGATTGTGTTTCCACAACACTTGAATTGTTTCTTTCTGGCTGCTTGCAATATTTTCTCCTTAACCTGGGAACCCTGGAATTTGGCTACAATGTTCCTAGGAGTCTTCCTTTGGGGATCTCTTTCAGGAGATGATTGGTGGATTCTTTCAATTTCTATTTTGCCCTCTGGTTCTAGAACATCAGGGCAGTTTTCCTTGATAATTTCTTGAAAGATGATGTCTAGGCTCTTTTTTGGATCATGGCTTTCAGATAGTCCAATAATTTTTAAATGATCTCCCCTGGATCTATTTTCCAGGTCAGTTGTTTTTCCACTGAGATATTTTGCATTGTTTTCTATTTTTTCATTCTTTTGGATTTGTTTTCTTGATTTCTCATACAGTCACTAGCTTCCAATTGCTCCATTCTAATTTTTAAGGAAGTATATTGTTCAGTAAGCTTTTGGACTTCCTTTTCCATTTGGCCAATTTTGTTTTTTAAGGCATTCTTCTCCTCATTGGCTTTTTGGACCTCTTTTGCCATTTAGGTTAGGCTATTTTTTAAGGTGTTATTTTCTTCAGTATTTTTTTTTTGGGGGGGGTTTCCTTTAGCAAGCTGTTGACTTGTTTTTCATGATTTTCTTGCATCACTCTCATTTCTCTTCCCAGTTTTTCCTCTACTTCTCTTACTTGCTTCTCAAAGTCCTTTTTGAGCTCTTCCAGGGCCTGGGACCAATTCATATTTTTCTTGGAGGCTTTGGATGTAGGAGCTGACTTTGTTGTCTTCTTCTGGTTGTATGTTTTGATCTTCTCTGTCACCAAAGAAAGATTCTATGGTTTGACTTTTTTTGCAAAGTTTGCTTATGATCCCAGCCAATTACTTGAGTTTTAAACTCTTTGTCAAGGTAGGGGTCTACTTCCAATGTGGAAAATGTACTGTCTCAAGCTTCGGGGGTTTTGTGCAGCTGTTTTCAGAGATACTTCTAGGGGCTTGTAAATTTTCAGTTCTTCCAAGGTGGTACGATAAGGGTTGAGGTGATTACTCCTTTCCTGGCCTGTGCTCTGGTCTATGAGTGACCACAAGCACTCTTTTCTGCCTTGGAACTGTGAGGAGAATTTGCTGTTCACCACCACTATAAGCTCCACCATGCCAGCACTCCTCCTTACCTCAGGACCGCCACCCGGAACCGTGACCCAGATCCAAGCATGGGCAAAGCAAGAGAATCCTGCCTCAGCACCAGCAAAGCGATCCCTGCAATCCCCCTCTGGTCAGCCACTCGATTCTCCCTCAGTCTGTGGCCTGGAAGCTCCGGAAGCAGCTGCCACCTCGGAGCTGCAGCCGGGCACTGGGCTGGGACTGAGCTTCTGTCTCACTGCAGTCACAGACTTTTCCTACTAACCTTCTGTTATCTTTAGCATTCATGGGGTGAGAAGTCTGGAAACCACCACAGCTGCCCGTGATTCAGTACTCTGAGGCCTGCTCCAAGTTTGCTGAGGCCTGTTTTGCCTGCACGCCCACGCCAATCTGCGCTTCTTTCCAATCAACCATCCAGGTTGTCCTGGGCTGAAAATTTGTTTTCCTATGTCTTTTTGTAGGTTCTGCTGCTTTAGAATTTGTTTAGAGCCATTTTTTACAAGTATTTGGAGGGGTTTAGAGGAGAGCTCAAGCAAGTCACTGCTTTTACTCTGCCATCTTGGCTCTGCCACCCAATAAAACTGCTTTTTAAAAAATTTAAATCAAATAAACAAATGACTTCAAAAATACGATTTTTGCATAAAAGAAGGGTATCTAGGCTACAACCTTATGTTATTAGGAATTGAATTATAGATACTATCAGCAAAGACTCTAACAGACTTTTTACAGAAGCTAAAGATAGTTGAAATCCAATGTTTGAGTGCTATACCTTAAGAAGGAGGCTGGTGAAAAACCTGGAAAGACTTACGTGAACTGATGCAAAATGAAGTGAGCAGAACCAGGAGAACATTGTACATAGTAAAATAGCAATATTGTGCAATGATCAACTATGACTGACTTAGCTCTTCTCAGCAATGCAATGATCCAAGACAATTCCAAAGGACTCATGATGGAAAATTCTACCCACATCCAGAGAAAGAACTGATGGAGTCTGAATGCAGATTGAAGCATACTATTTTCACTTTATTTTTTTCCAGTTTTTTTCCCTTTTGTTTTATTTCTTCTTTCATAACATGACTAATATGGAAATATGTTTTACATGACTGCACATATATATAACCTATATCAAATTGCTTACCATCTTAGAAAGGGGGAATGAGAAGGAAGGAGAAAATTTAGAACTCAATATTTTATAAAAAATGAATGTTAAAAAAAGAATGTCTTTACATATAATTGAAAAAATAGTAATAAAATATTATTTTTAACAAGGAGGCTGATGAACTAGAATCTATCCGAAGGAGGGTGATCAGAAGTGTGGGATCCAAGAAACCATGAGGAATAACTGAAGGAATAAGGGCAGTAAGAAAAGAGGATTCCAGTGAGAAATGGTAGCTTTCCCCTTTGGGTTTCTCTCTTCATCTTCCTAGTGGCCAAAAAAAAAACCACCCCTAGGTTCTTCCACCTTTCTCTGGTGGCTGCTTCCCACTGGCCAAAGGACAGAGTTTGATGCCTTTGGAAGACAGGGCAGATGAAAGACTTCAGCTGTAGAAGGAGCTGGAATTGTAAGGGAGATTTAAAGGACATAGGAATTACAAAGAAGACCAGAAGATGAATTTGGGGGAGGAAAATTTGGGAAGACTTGAATAAATGGAGAAAGACTACAAAAGATGATTGAGTGACTTAACATATGTATACTACATTGGAAACCTTAACTACAGAAATGCTACCTATTAAGAAAACTAAAGAACAAAGAAAAAACTTACAAGACAAGGAGGAAAGGAAGGGAACAAGCATTTATTAAGTGCCTACTATGTCCCAGGTACTATGTTAAGTGCTTCACCAATATTATCTCATTTAATCCTCACCACAACCCTAGAAGGCAGACACTGACTGAGACAGAGAGAAGTTAAGTGACTTAGGGTCACACAGCTGGTAGGTGTTGAGGCTAGATTTCAACTCAAGTCTTCTTGACTCCAAGTCCAGCTCTCTGTCCTCTGGGTCACTTTGCTGCCCCAAGACAGGGTGAGATGTTGGTCCCTTCCAGTTCTACATCTATAATCCTATAAGTTAAAGAGGTCCAAGGAGTATCATTCTCACTAAGTTTCTTTAAGCCAAATTGGTGGCAATTGTTATATACATTTTACAAAAAGAAACAAATCCCAAGCAAGATTTTTTCCACCATATTACACTAGCTCCCAGAGAAGCAGCATGAATGATCTGAAAGGGCCTATCCTTAAGATAATTAAAATAAGAGTTGGAAGTCCCTCTATTCCAGTAATTTCACATGAATCACTGAAACCTTCCCAATGTCTTCGCTTCTTTCCAGTCCATTAATATGTTTAAAGGAGTCAGTTCCCGATTTGCTGGCTTGTCTCAGTCTGGAATAACTAATGACTTCTGCCAGCCTCTAGGGAATCTCACTCAACCCAAATTATCTTCAGTTTATTTATCTGTGTAATGCTGGATCTCCCCAGTAGAATGTTCTGTGTGGCCAATGTAGACAGGCTGGAGACATCTGCTTAATGGTGACATTGGGTCTTTTGCTCCAAAGTAATTACGGACTAGCCACACTTGGCTATAAAATTTAACCAACTAACTTGAGTTTAAAGCAAGGAAGCAATGACTTCTTTAAAAAGGCATAATTTTTATATTTCTCCACCCTCAAAAGCTTTTCCAAAATGCAGTGGCTATGGTGTGAAGGAGTCTCCCTTCAAAACATTTCCATAGAAAAATGAACTAAAATCAGGTCTATTTTTCTAAATGAGTCACTTAAAAGCCAACCTTCTGCTTTAGAGAAAGAAAGTCACTTTGTCTTTCTTCCCCTAATTTGAATTTCTTTAAAAAGTAGATATCCTTTCAAACAAGGAAATTTCAAGAAACTAAGAATCTTCATAACCTCATAGTATTTACAGTTGGAAAGGATGGTAGATCAATCAATCAATCAAGACAGCTTGGTGGTTTAGTGGATAGAGTACCAGATTTGGAGTTGGAAAGACCTTAGTTCAGATCCAGTCTCAGACACTTCCTAGCTGTGTGACCCTGGGCAAGTCATTTAACCTCTGCCTTGATTTCCTCATCTATAAAGAGGATAATAACAGCACCTACCTCCCACAACAACTGTGAGGCTCAAATGAGATAATAACTGTAAAGTGCTTAGCACAGTGCCTGGTACATAATAAGCAATTGGTTATTGTCATTGTTATTATTATTATTACTACTATGTTCCAGGCACTATGCTAAGCACTGGAGATACAAAAAGAGGCAAAAGACAGCCCCTGCCCTTATGGAACTTACAATCTAATGTGGGAGATAACATGTAAACAAATATATAAACAGAGGGAAGACATTAGAATTAAGGTTTGGGAAAGGCTTCCCATAAAAGATGGGATTTTAGTTGGACTTAAAGGAAGCCAGAGAAGTCAGCAGGTAGAGTTAAGGAGGGGGAGCCTTCCAGGCAAGGGGGACAGCCAGAGAAAATGCCTGGAGTGTCTTGTTCATGGAACAGCCAGAAGGCCAGTGTCCATGGATGGGACAGTGTAAGAAGACTGGAAAGGTAGAAGGGGACTAGGTTATAAAGGGCTTTCAATGCCAAACAGAGTATTTTGTATTTGCTCCTAGAGGTGACTGGAATTTACTGAATAGGAAAGTGACATGGCTGACCTGAGCTTTAGGAAAAAGTGACTGAATGGAGGATGGATTGGAGTGGGGAGAGACTTGAGGCAGGCAGACCCACCAGCGGCCTATTGCAGTAGGCCAAGTGTGAGGGGATGACCACCTGCACTAGGGAAATGGAAGCATCAGAGGAGAGAAGGGGGCCTATTTGAGAGATATCACAAAGAGACCTTGGCAACACCTTAGATATTTGGGGGGGGGGAAGAGAGGGGAAGGAGGAAGGCAGATAGTAAGGAATCTAGGATGATTTCTAGAGCCTGAAAGACTGGGAGGATAGTGCTGCCCTCTACAGTAATAGGGAAGGTAGGAGGTAGGGAGGGTTTAGGGGGAAAGATAATGAGTTCTGTTTTGGCCATATTGAGTTTACTATGTCTACTGGATATCTAGTTTGAGATATCTGAAAGGTAGCCAAAAACTTGAGACTGGAGGTCAGCAAAGAGGGTAGATAGACAACATCAAATTCAATCACCTCATTTTACAAATAAGACTGACACCTGAAGAGGTTACTTGATTTGCCCAAGATCACACCGGTAATAAACAGGAGAAACAATTCAATCTCTGTTCCTCTAACTCTAATCCAGTGTCTTATTTTCACCCTCATGTTGCCCCCAAGATCGCATGAGTATAAAGTGTAGTATAAAAGAAAGAACCCTGTGTTTGTGGTTAGAAGAGATCTGGGCTTAGATTCCACCTCTGGCACTTCCCAGTTGCATGACTATAGGCAAGTCACTTCAATTCTCTGAGCTTCAGTTTCTTCATCAGTAAAATGGGAACAATAATACCTTTATTACCTATGTCATAGGGTTACTGTGAAGCTCAAATGAATTGGGTATAAAATACTTTCTTTGAGAAGGGATTGTGTAATTTGTTACATTGTCTATTCAGTGCCTGGCACAGTACTTTCACATAGTAGGTGCTTAATAAATGCTTTTTAATTGATTGTTTACAAGTACTTTACAAATGTCAGCTACTACTACATTACAAGCATAATATATAAAGCTAAGCAAATTAAAAATTGTTAGATTAGCCCACTGATCAGTTTCTATTCCAGAAATCAAAAAGGGCAGAAAACAGTCATACCTCAGTGTGAATTATGTTAGAAGGCATTTCCTCAGTTCTTATTTGATCTGGAGTTTTGCAGCCTGGTATAAAAAGCAACATATTTGAAGTATCTGCTATTTTCAGGTCATAGGTTTTCTCTTTGCTGCAAATCACTGCCTGTTCATCTTTGTCACCACGGATCACAAGACTAGAAAGAAAAGGGATAGAAAAACATGTATGTTTTTCATACATGAGACAGCAAACAATTTCTATGAAAGAAATTTCCATTTATGTATAAATATAAGCACGCACATGTTCACTCATTCATTCATTCATTCATTCATTCTACATTTGCAGCTCTGCTTGGTTTCAGCTCCACAGAACAAGATGCTGATAAACTGATCACTTTTAATCTCATTTGTTCAGTCATTTTTCAGTAGTGTTTTGATTCTTCCTAACCTCATTTGGGGTTTTCTCAGCAAAGATACTGGAGTGGTTTGCCATTTCCTTCTCTAGCTCATTTTACTGATGAGGAAACTGAGGCAAACAGGGTTAAGTGACTTGCCCAAGGTCACACAACTAGTATCTGAGGCCAGATTTGAACCCAGGAAGATGAGCCTTCCTGACTCCAGGCCCACACTCTATCCACTATGTCATCTTGCTGGCCTTTAATCTCATTACCATAGTGCTAACAGCCTTGGATACTCAAGATGTATCATTCACATCCTTCTCTCCCCTCCATTAGAGAGCTGCAAAGTGGAGCACTAATCTCCTAGCAAAGCCTTCCTTTAGAGAGGACAGAAATGGGCCACTCCACCCACCATCTGCAGCAATGCTGGTTTCAACTTTGCCAAGTACCTCCAGTGCCTCCCCTGCATCCACTTTCCAGCTTTCTGTTGTGATGTACCCACATAACACTCAAGTAAAAAAAAAAAAGGTCTAACGACCAACTTGTCAAATATAGAACTTCTCCAGAACTTCTATTATAAGTTGGATTTCCCAGATGCAATAATTTATTTTACAGTGTTGCCAAAGACTAATTGATCCAATTCAACTATTTATTTAATCCAGATTCGAGGAGGTAGTTTAAAATGGAAGAAACACTGTAAGCTCTGGAATACAATGGTGCCTGTATAGATGCCCAGATGGAGGTTAATGACAAGGGACATTTATTTTCACAAGCATGAGTTATTGTGAATATCTAAAAAAAAAGAAAGGCAGAAGTTGTTTGTTGGTTTTTTTTTTAATTTGGGGAATGAAGGAGGGTTGAGAGCCTCTCAGTATCATTCCACTGAGATCTCAGCTGAACTATAACCTAGTAAATTGTATTATGGAGTTGCCTGAGATTCACAGTTGTCATAGTAGCAGCTATTATGAGTCAGAGGCTGGATTTGAACCTAGGTCTTCCAGACACTATTCCACACGGCCTTTATAATAATATTATTATTAAGAATGTAATATTAGAATGTAAAGTCCTTAGGAATTCCATTAGAATGTAAGCTCCTTGAGGGCAGGGACTTTTTTTTTATCCCCTTAGCCTGGCTCACAGTAGACACTTAATCAATACATGCTGATTGATTATCATAAAAGCTTATTTATTTATCATGCCTGATTCATAGCAGGCACTTAATAAATGCATGTTGATTATTATAAAATGTATTCATCATAATAATAGCTTACTGCATATAACATTTTTCAGTTACAAATCACTTTATATATACATTATCTCACTTGCCCCTCACATTATCCCAATTCCACAGGAGAGAGGTTGCCCAAAGTGACAATTAGGAATGGGAACATAGGTCTTCTGACACTTTGTACTATAATGATTACCTACATCAGCTACTATATACTTATGATGGGCTGGTAATACAAGTTAAAGGTGGAAAATATAGAACCCAACAAAAAGCCACACACAGTGGAAAAAACAGCAAGGGGAAATACAGGAAGAAAAGGGACAATAGAACAGAGAAAACAGAAAGGAGAATTAGTGGCTCTCTAGGGTAGAACACTAGAGAAAGTACCAAGGATTTGAAATCAGGGGGTTGGACTAGGTGGCCTCTTTTGATCATCTGGAAAATAACAAGGGGCTTGGGGTTATCAATAATTGTGTTTGAAAACCCAGGTAGGCACTTACTTCACCTAAGTCAAATCACAATCTCTCCAGGCCTAAATTTAATGGGGGGGGGGAGGCCTTCACTGCCACACAAGGGCTTCATAAGGCTAAAATGATAAAATATATTCCAAAAATGCTCAAAGTGCTACAGATTTTTGTAGCAATAAAAACTGGAAACTAAGGAGGTGCCTCCTACTGGGAAACAGCTAAACAAACTGGTATGTGAATCTAATGGAACACCATTGTGCCACAAGAAATGATAAAACTGACAGTGTTCAGAACTCTATGTAAACTGATGTGGAACAACGCATGCTGAACTAGGAGAACAAATTATATGGAACATTGTGGAGAAAAACAACTTTGAAAGCCTTGAGGGCTCTGATCAATGCAATGATTAACAACAAGGCCAAAAGACTGATGAGGAAACTTGCCACAGGTTTGCTGTGAGGACCAAATGAGTTAACATGTTTGTAAAGCGCTTATCGCAGTGCCTGGCACAGAGCAAGTGCGTAAAGAATGCTCTTTCCTTTCCCTTTTCTCTAGGCTGAAAGGTGATGCCTTTAAAACGCAAAATTTACATACATTTCCAATGTACGACTTTGTTTTGCTGAACGGTGAGTGCTTTTTTTTCTTTTTTGTTCAGTGGGAAAGCGGATAGTGGGAAGGGCAGAGAATAAATACATGTGAAAATAAATATTTTTTAAGTGCTATAGCATTATTTTGGCCAAGAGTGGAGAGGTGGAGGGGAGGCCAATGGTCCCAGGTCTCCCCCCATAGAGTGGGCGTGTCCTACCTGTGCCCCGCCTCCAGCTGCTGGCAGAGCGCGGGCTCGAGCTCCACCAGGCAAAAGTCTCCGGCCGTGGCCCCGCTGGCCCCGGGGCTGAAGCTCAGGCAGTGCACGGTGGGGAGCAGCTCCGAGGGGTTCAGCTTCGCGATCTGCAGCGTCGCGTCCACCTCCTCGCGGGTGCGCATCCCTGATGCGGGAACGATGCTACGCGGGCTCCAAAGGAGAAGGTGCTTGCAAAAAGTAAGCTAGCCCCAAACCAGCGGGAGCAGCGGCCAAAAAAGGAAGAAGCTCTTTCAAAAGCGCGCCAAAGTAGCGCAGGCTCTGGCTTGACGCACTTCCGGGGCGGAGAGAGGTTTGCGCACCTCTTTCCTGGCAAAATTACGGGCCACTTTTGTAGATAAAGCACTATCGGGCTCCTTCTGCTCCTGCTCTGGAGCTTGCTGGAAGGAACCGGGATAAATTATCTCTTGGGTCCTTCTCTCTCTTGTTTTCAGCCGTGAATATAGGGAAAGGCCAAGCTCGCCTCTCTGAACCTCAGTCTCCTAGTTTGTAAAATGAGGGGGTTGGACTTAGAGGAGGAGCGCTTAACCTTTTTTTGTGTCGTTGACGCCTTTGGCAGTCTGGTGAAACCTATGGACCCCTTCTCGGAATGTTTTTAAATGCATAAGATAAAATATACAGGATTGCAAAGGAAACCCATTAGACTGAAATACAGTCATCATTTTTTAAAAGCAAGTTCATACATAAAATATTACTCCCCTTCAAGTACTCCATCATTCTGCGCTCCACGAAAACTAGACTTCTCCGTGGACAAGTTCGATGCACTCTAATGACATTTCTCTTGCCTCTAAGCAAAAACCCTTAGTCTAGCCCTTAGCTATCATTCTTATTAGACATTACTTCTCCCAGAAAGTGGCGAATCAATCATTTATAAATGCCTAAGATATTTTATAAATCGGGATGAATGGGGAACTCTTGCTGCAGCCCAGGCTCTATGCTAGGTGCTGGGGACACAACTAAGAATGAAACTATATCCCTCGCATTATTATGGTTATTTTATTAATTATAAATACGAAAATTATAATAATTTTCAATAAATATGTGATTATGCTTAAGATTCGTGTGTTGCAAAATTGTGATGTTTTAAATTTTATCTGAATGAAATAATGAGCTAAGAATTTATTTGAATACATTGTTTTATGGAAAATGGGGGGGTTTTGGCCAAAAAAAAGTGATAATTCTTATAGAAGTTAGGACACTATTGTCCAAGGCAAAGACAATAAGTATTCATTATAAAGTGCTATCATACAGTTCTATAACATAAAAAGAATGAAACATACCTACTCACGATGACCTAATAAGGGAAAGATGTGTGTATCTATACAAAGGGCAGCTAGGTGGCGCAGTAGAGTACTGGGCTTGGATTCAGGAAGACTCTTCGTGAGTTCAAATCCGAACACAGACATTTAACAGCTGTGTGATCCTGGTCAAGTCACTTAACACTGTGCCTCAGTTTCCTCATCTGTAAAACGAACTGGAGAAGGAAATGGCAAACCACTCTAGTATCTTTTCCAAGACAGTCAGACATGACTGAAAAGACTCAACAACAATGTATACAGAGATTTTCTTCTATAGACACATATCCACACTACATGTATGCACATAAATATACATACATGTATGTATAAATATATACAGAATGAGTAAAAAGAATATATTCGAGATAAATTCTAGGTAGTTTGGAAGGGAGAGCAGCACTAACAATTGGGGGGGAATGAGGAAGGTTTCATGCAGAAGTCGGTGCTTGAGCTGCGTCTTAAAGGAACAAAAGCATTTCATGAGGAGAAGAGGAGAGAATGCATTCCAAAGGTACAATCCAGGCACTGAACAAAAAAATGGAGATGGGAGTTGGTCTGCCCTGGAAGGCACAGAGAGAGGGCCAGTCCGGAAAGACAGGTTGGGAGCAGACTGTGTAAGGTTTTAAAAGCCAAAGAACTTTATATTCTATCCTAGAAGCAATAGGAAGCCACTGGAATTGATTGAATAGGAAAGTCACATGGGGAGATCTGCACTTAAGGAAAATCTGGCAGCAATAATCTAACTGGCGTTCTCTCTCTATTCCTCATACGCCACCCTCCATTATTTGTGTTTGTGCCTTTGCACTGACTGTCTGCCCCCATTCCTGCACTACACTTTCTCCTTTCCTCTGCCTCTTAAAGCCCCTCTCTTTCCCACTGTTTGGGCTTTGATGGCCCTGAGTGAGTGTAAATAGCAACTGTTTCTGTTCTGGCCAGAAACCCTTGAGGGTCTTCCTCTCCCAAAATGATTCTTTTATGAAGGCAAACTATGCAATGCTTTGCCTCAATTCTTACCCAGCCTTTAATTACTTAATGGGCTTTGTGGACAGACTGAGACCTGGGGAAGACCTTAGCTTAAAAAGTCCGAGGTCTCCCACTAAATCCAGGGCCAATCGCCAGCCATCTTGACCTAGGTCTTGCCACTGGAAGCTGATGACTCCGAAGGAGAGAGTGAGGCTGATGAATTTGCACACCCTGCCTCACTTAAATTCAGTTTACTTGCAGGTCAAGACATCACCCTCCTGATGTCATTGGTCCTCTTGGAGAACAAAGGACGAACAACAACAATCCTTCAACTCACCAGCTCTCTAGGTCCTCAAGTGTGGCCCTTTGAATCCAAATTTCACAGAACAAATCCCCTTAATAAAAGGATTTGTTCTATAAAACCTGGACTCAGTCAAAAAGTCATACCCGAGGACCTAGAAGGCCACATGTAGCCTTCAGGCTGCAGGTTCCCCACCCCTGCTCTAGAGCTACTTTGCTAACCTACTCCCTCTGAAAGTTCTGGTCCCTAGATCTTGTTGCTTCATCTCCCCTCGGAATCTAGTGATACATCTGAAGAGTTGGGAGGTGGGTGTAATTTTTTCTAGTACTATTTAGCTCAAGAATCCCCTCCCCCACTTCCTGCATTGATTAGCAGTTGATAACAATTAGTCAATTAACAATTAGCTTTAAAAAGGAGTACATACTAAAGTGGTATTTAAAAGTCCAAATCCTCTGGACCCTTCAGAGCTCACAAGGTCCTCCTCTAACCAAGACAGAAGGGAGACTTAGCGGGGAAAGGCTGAATTTGAAATGGGAGGCCCACCTCCTCGACCCCGTCCCCCAAGCCATTCTTGTGGGCTTGGCTAGAAGACTTCTGCCCTAAACTGCTAGAAGCTCAAATCCCTCTGTTTCAAAATGCTTCAATATTTTATAAACAAACCTAAGGGTACAATCAACTTTCCTCAATGATTCTGAACACTCTTCCTGTCACCACTAAAGTTCATCCAATGGATTTCAAAGATATCTAAATTAATCAAGGACTTTTCAGACTTAGTCAAAGTGTTTGATTAATTCAATTGATACATTTAGAACTTTTTTACACCTCTGATGCTTTGATTCAATTAAGAAGTGCCATCTCTTGGTAACTTTTGACATTCCCCTTCCAAAGGATTGGTGTTTCTTTCTTCTGGCTCTAGCCTTGACTCTACAGATTGTTTTTCTACCCTATTGACTGACTGCCAGACTCCTGGCTGCTCATCATGGCTCCTTTCATTTTTAGTTTAATTGATTCATTAATAAACAGTTTAATTCATTCCCTTTTATAGTCCCAGATCAAGTATGTTGAATGTCACACCAAATAGAGTCTATCTGGAAGCTTTCTGGGTGAAGGAGAATCATGTGCAGTTAAGCCGCAGATAACAAAGGTTATGCTGGAGCCACATTGTGATGGCATTTAAATGCCAAAAAGAGAAATTTATATTTGATTTTAGATGCAAGAAGAAGCTACTGGAGCTTCTTGACTAAGGGAATGACAAGTCATACTCCCCCTCTTCTTCTTCTTCTTTTTTTTTTCCCCAAACTGAATCAGCTTTTCTCACTGGAAGCTTTCACTCCTGATTTTATTCTCTTTAACGTTTAAATCTTCAATGAAAATGTTATTTCCATTAAGGCCAACAGGTGGCAGCATGAACCTAAATATTAATTGTCCACCAATGCACAATTAGTATTAACAAGAAATAGGGGAACCTGGAAGTCCCCATAGAAACAAGATGTCAGATGAAATATTTGGACAGGATGTTGATACTATCACTCCCACCCAAAGAAAATCCCAAGATGATAGAAACAGAAGAAGCAGGAATTCACAGAAACAGAATTTCAGAGTTGGAAAGGACTTTGGTGGCTGTCTTATCCAAGCCATATGGAAAAAAGTATAACCATTCCAACATGCCTGCTTGTGGTCATCCAGTCTCTACTAGAAGATTTTCAGTGAAAGGGAATCTATTATTTCCTGGGATTGCCTGTCACACTTTAGGATAGTTCTAATTGTTAAGAAGTTTTTCCTGACATCTAGCCTAAGTTTGCCTCTTTGTAACCTACCTGTTGTTCTCTGGGGCCACAAAGAACAAGCCTAATCTTTCTTCTTCATAACAGGCCTTCAGATTCTGGAAGATAGTCATCTTATCCTCCAGCACTCGAAGAGTGGTTGTCTTACCCTCCCCTTAATCTCCTCCCAGGCTTTTTTGTTTGTTTCTTTGTTTTTGTGAGGCAATTAGGGTTAAGTGACTTGCCCAGAGTCACACAGCTGTTGAGTGTGATGTACCTGAGGCTGGATTTGAACTTAGGTCCTCCTGACTCCAGCTGGTGCTCTATCCACTGAGCCACCTACCTGCCTCCCTTTCAGGCTTTTTTAATCCAGGCTGAACAACTCTGGTTGCTCCAACTGATCATCACATGGCATGGGCTCAAGGCCCTTGACCCTTCTGGTCGCTGTCCTCTGGAAACTCTCCAACCTATCAGCCTCTTTTTGAAACTGAGGAGCAAGAACTGAGTATGATATTCCAGATGTGGTCTGACAAGGGAATAGCATGTTAAAACAATCACTCCTTTGTTCCTGGATTAGGATCTAATTAGTGCTTACTGTTATGAACTTTTAAAGGATCATAGCAAGGATAGCTCCCATTTATATTTTGCTTTATAAATTACCAAATACTTTCATCACAGGAACCTAGGAGGGAGCTTATATATGTATGTTTATTTCCAGGAAAATTTTTTCATTTTCAGGAAACTGAGCCTTAAAGAGGTTGTGACTTTCCCAAGGTAAGGACTCAGGTTTTCTAACAACTCCAAGACCCTTCCTACTATCACCATTGCAAACAATTCTCAGTTATCTATGAGTTTAGGAACTGGGATAATGTAGATGGAAATACACAGATAATGCAGATCTGAATGATGGTGACCTTATCTCTTGGCAGCATAGATGCTAAGAAATACCCCCAAATGACTCATTTGAGAGTCATCTTTTCTTCCAGTCTCTATCTGGATCTATCTACAGATGAAGGTATATAGGTCACACAGGGGCAGCTAGTTGGCACAGTGGATAGAGTGCTGGACTTGGAATCAGGAGGACCTGAGTTCAATTCTGGGCAAGTCACTTAACCCTCTCTGCCTCAGTTCCTCATCTGTAAAATAAGCCAGAGAAAAAAATGGCAAACCA